TCTCCACAATCATACCGATGAGCGGCCATCCGATCAGTACAACCGTAATGCCCGAGAAGAAGGCCACCGAAGCCTTCCATTTGTGCTTCTGGAAGAAGAACCAGAAGGTCCGCTCCAAACCGATTATAAAGGCCAGACCCGACAGGAACAGTATGTTTCCGATGGCCAGCAGTCCCTTATCGAAGAGCAACATCACTCCCAACATGAGGAATGCGATCCCGAAGCCCGACAAACCCAACCCAATCTTCTGCAGGTCTGTTATCTCCAACATTACCGCCGATCAATGCTATCACTTCACGCACAACACAACACTAATGATTGTCTTAATTGTCCGCAACGTCTTCACCGCTCATTCAATCACTTCACTCATGAGTTGTGGTTATGATTACAAGAGTTGAACCAAACATGTGATCATAAACTGCACAAACATTGCATTGAAAGAGTGAATGAGTTGTTAATCACTTCAACAGATATGAGCTGTCATTCAATGCAAGCCTACAGTCGGACACCAATAACGCGACCAAACATTACACACAAACACTGACTGCGTATGCGATAGAGGGCCTCATCGGCAGTAAGTGTCACCAAAACACTGTGTTTTGAGAGACATTCACAACAAAACAATTGACAAAACAATAGCAGTTTGTGAAGACATTTGACACTCATTTGCATTTCAAGTGAAATCATTTGACAAATGTTTTGAATTGCGGTGAAAATGACACTAAAATGAAGTCAACGCTTGTATTGATGTGACTATAAATCGGTGGTTATATTGAGTGACAATGGATTGGGCGGTGAAGAGGTTTGGGTTGTTGTTGATGAAGTTGAGAGCACTTCCACTGAACAACAAGTCGTTTGTCATAATTGTCATAATCCTGGTCTTCATGTCCTTCCTATTGATTGGATATTTATGTCCGGAAGGCGTCTGTCCTCACAATTCGTGGTCAATACCAGACCAACACTCGGACCGAAGTGTCTTCAGAGACAATTTGGGTCAGTCTTTGTCGCAGTCATCACATCCTCTCAATCACCATAAGATGTCTTTTGATGATATGGTTAATGCAAATGAGTTCGTCTTCGACATCAAAGGCAATGATGTCATTGTCTTCCTTCACATCCAGAAGACTGGTCTGTATTACTGTTTTGTTTGATCCCAGAGTTATGACTAACGGAATGGTTGTCCCAAAAGGCGGAACCACTTTCGGCCGCCATTTGGTGCGAGACTTGGACTTAGAGAAGCCGTGTCTTTGCAAAAGGGGTCGAAAGAAGTGCCGATGCGTTCGTCCGGACTCTGAGGCCAAACTGTGGCTCTTCTCGCGATACTCGACCGGTTGGAAGTGTGGTCTTCACGCGGACTTTACTGTAATCTCACTCACCGTTGAGTAATCTGTGGACACATCTAATGATTGGTTGCTATGGTTTAGGAACTGATGGGTTGTGTCGACAATGCGTTGGATGAGAGCGAAAGAGTGCGAACAAAACGGCGCTATTTCTACATAACTCTACTCCGAGACCCGATCTCCCGGTTTGTGTCGGAGTACAGACACGTGCAAAGAGGCGCCACTTGGAAGACATCCCGTCATATGTGTGGCGGACGGGTGCCCACCAAACAAGAGCTGCCCTCTTGTTACTCGGGAACTGATTGGAGAGACGTGACGATCGAGCAGTTCATTAACTGTGAGCACAATCTGGCCATCAATAGACAGACCCGGATGTTGGCCGACCTGACACTCGTGGGCTGTTATAACAAGTCATTGATGAGTGCGCGGGAAAGGGATGTAATACTGCTCGCGAGTGCCAAAGAGAACTTGAGGCGAATGGCGTTCTTCGGTCTCTGCGAACAGCAAAAGAGATCCCAATATTTATTTGAAATGAGTTTTCATTTGAATTTTTTGGAGCCATTCGTTCAGTTAAACGAAACGCACAGCACTTTAACGTACAGTCATTTGAGCGCCGATTTAGTGAACAAAATCAAAGCCTTAAATCATTTGGACATTGAATTGTATGACTTCGCCAAACAATTACTGATGGATCGGTTCCACAAAATGAAAAACTCAGACCAAAACTTTGCGTTCAATTTCGATCATTTAGGGGTTAGTCACCAAATGAATAGAAATGATATCACAGACAAAAATATCCCTAAAATCGATGATATTCTCTCTGATTATCATTACTATTGATATCATATTCAAAGAGTTGTGAAACAAATTGAGAAATGAAATATTTTCGACCATAAGTGCCATAAATAGCCGTAAGTGTGTGACAGCCAAATGACAGTCTATATTTTGCATTACATTTTTGTGATAACAAAAACGATTAGACTTAAAACAGTTTTCTCATGAATTCAACGAAATATGTTTTAGATTTCAATTTATCATCAATTTTAGTCATTTTAATTGAAATTATTTATAATGTTTTAAAATATTAACAAAATCGAGTCGATTATGATTTCTACGATTGTCTTACAATCGATGCATTTCTTGAATACTAACGAGAGATTGACTGAACGTTATTATTAGGATTTATAAGTGATATATTGATCATATATTTAATGTGTTGAATCAAATCAATGCTTTTTTATTTGCATTTTTACTATTGAATTGCCGTTAATAGTCAGAGCTTAATACAATTGCAGGAATTCCTGTCAGTAATGGACAGCTTTTGCAACATATTGTGTAGTCAATTGCAAACTGATAAGACCAGATTTTAGCAGGTACAAATAGGTTACTATATTATAAAATTTAAAATATAATCTTTAATGCAAAAGGCTGTGCAAAGATTTTGCTTTTATTTATGCCTATGATTTTATTAAAAAATTTAATGCATATGATTTTAATTATACTTAAGTTATTTGAGATTTATATTGCAAAGCGAAATATTTAATATTTATCCATTTCTATATTTGTACCCAAATTTTACTAATTTTTGAATCATGATTTTAAATGTAATTTTAGTTTTATTTATTAGTGTTCACATTATCATGAAATGAGTTTAAATTAAACATTTATAAATGATTTATTTTAAATTTATTTTGAATAGCGCATTGAATATAAAATCTTTATAAATGATACTTTGAAATACTCTAAAGATTTGCTATAATATACACCATTATATCAATATTGTATTTATGTCCACAAATACAAGAGATTATGTTTTAATTTTCACTCAATTTTTGTCTTTTATACGATTTTTTGTTAAAGAGATTACTTTTGTCGATAAATGACAGCTAATAAAATGACAATAAATTTAACATTTAAGTTTTGCCTGGATTATTTATACAAAATAATACATTAATCATTAAACTTTTGTAAAATATAAATCTTTATTAGTTATCAATGAAATGAAATCAAACGATATCTTTAGTAGCGATTCGGGTGACAATTAAATCCCATTTTTGGCTCTCATTCGTACAGTTCTTCAGGTTATAGATCTAATGAACAATTATTTTGTAAATCAATTAAATGTTATTATTTGCGAATTGTATTCAAAGGGAAATACTTTATCAATGAGAGAGTCGTTGCGTAAAGACTTCAGGGAATCCATTGCCACAAGTTTTCCATCGATTTTGTCAAACACTTCAGTATTTAAAGTGTCATTCATTTGATCCACACTTAAGACAATTACTGGTAACGAGTCATCGGTTGGCGTCACTCCAAACGTCTTGAGACTTTCGGTGATCTTAAATGAGATGAGAGTTAATGTGAACCGAAAGACAAGTCTAACAAACAATACAAACATTTTTAGAGAGACTTAGACTGAAGAGAATCTCTTTATTCAGACGTTTTGTAATCAATTTGTTGTTATTTTTATTGTCAATCGACTTATTAATGGCACATAATATCTGATTCATGTCAAAGATCTGATCCAAAAAGAGACAACAGATTACTGTTAGTGTTAATCATGAGGAGAATGAATGGCAAACAAACAGTTTGAGCGCTGATGAGGCAGATGTTGTCGTGGGTTTGAGTCCACTCAAGAACTTGAGACAAATTATGGATACTTTCATACAAAGCAATGCGTGTCTCATACGAGTCCACCAAAAGTGTGTATTTAGTGATTGGTGTCATATCTGTGGTCACATTCACACCATTCACACACCGATTAAAGATCTGGCAATTGATTCAATGCACAACACCTCGAGTCACATGTGATTTAAAAAACAAACTTTTAATTACAATAATAGACATAAAATATGTCAACATTTTCCGTGCAATGCATGCATTGATGAACGCGTGAAACGTCTATTTTTGGGGCAAAAATAACTGAAAATATGAGACATAATAACTGTACGATTGCTTCATTCAATAATAAGCTGTAATTTTGTTGGAAACTCACAAACAATTTCATTGCATTTGAATGACTCGTAAATGAATTGTCTATTCATTTATCGGCCATTGATTGCATTGAATGAAAGTATGCCTTCAAGTGATGACTATTGCATCAGTGGTTGCAGTAATTGAGACAATGATTGCTTTGTTTGTGTCATTAGATTGAAAGACTGTGTGAAAGGATGGCGAAGGCATTGAAGACAGAGTTTGTGATCGCTTTGGACGAAGACTCCGATAGCGAAGACATTGAGGACATTGAGGACATTGAGGACATTGAGGACATTGAGGACATTGTGGACATTGAGGTGACAGACCTGACCGGTGATAACGATGTGATAAGTACTGAAACTATTGATGAAAGTGTTGCCAAAGTGTTAGACTCAGTGATCGAATCGGTGGCCACACTGCCACTACTCGATGACATGAGACACGACAATGATGTCCAAGAAGTGGACATAGAGTTAGAGTCGAGAGCAGACAATACGAGCAAAGAGTTGTCATCTGTTGAGCGCTTTATACCCAATCGATCGGCTTCTCCGGTGTTTACGTCGGACTCATTCATACCCCTCTCGACAGCCGCCACAGCCTCTTACAGCCGATACTTAAACCGCAGCAGAAATGCTGACACCAGAGCTAATGCCACCACAAGTAGTGATAGACACGTCCGACCCATTGATGACGTCGACGACGTTGATAATCTCGAAGTCAATATCTGTAACAATGATTCGGATGATGAGGACTTGGAGGGCGAGGACTGTATGGTTATCGACGATATAACCACTCATTTCGACGATGAAGTGCACAAAGAGTTGTCCGACAAAGAGATGGACGGTTCGGATGACGAGATTGAGTTCATAGAAGAATGCAATTTACAGAACAATTCAGACGATAAGTCCAAAGAGAAACCTGTGATCGAAGATAATGTGATTGATTTGAGTGATGACGAAGAAGACTGTGTTATTATCAACGACTCATTTACTGCCAAAGTATAAGACATTTCCCTATAATTACTTAATATATCGTATGATTGTTTCAATTAGTTTATGAGTCATTCATTGTGATTGTCATCCCTTTTCTTATTAAACTTATTTTTCAGATTACTTTTTGTGAATGCTTTTCATTTTAGGTTCATTTAAAGCATTTCTAACGTTTTTAATTGAATTTATTTTTCCAAATCAAAGCGAAACAAATTGACAGAATATGTGCCTGAACCTTTTTGGACTGACTTTGGTCCCAAACCATTCAAACCATGTGAGCCTTCATCGCAATCATATATACCATTCCTAGAGCCGAGCACTTCATCCGGTTATAGTGGAGGGAGTTCTGTAGCAAAACGTCCGCATCCTTCTCACCACTATAACATGCATTCCTCCACTTCTTCATCCACTAGTGATCTTCAGTATACGGGTAGACCTTCAATGGAGTCGACATCCTATACAAACAGTTCCAATCGTTTCGTCAGCACTTATGGTTCAAAAGTAGACGAAGAAATTCCATTCTTATATAACGAACCAAACAATTCCACTTCCAGTGATTTGGTGGACAGTTCGGACATCAATGATATCGATCTGATCGCTGAATGTGTAAAACTGGACAAAAGTGTTGTCCGCAATGTATTGAATCTGATCGAAGACCAGTGCACCGTTCCGTTCATTGTTAGGTACAGACAGTCGGCCATCAGTGGTATCGATGCCGACAAAGTCCGTCGAATTAACATTGTTTACAATGAAGTGAAAAGAGCTAAAGAAAGAGCCAAAGAAGTTGAGGCGACGCTCGCAAAACAGGGCCGAATGAATCCTCGGCTCAGTTTGGCTTTGAGTCGCTGTAAGAATGTCTTCGAAGTCGAACATCTCTATAGGTTGTGTCGAAATGAGAGCGAATCCGCCGAAAAGTTTAGAAATTTAGGTCTCAGTGACAGCGCTATCGCTGTTCTCGAGGGACAGCGTCCCGATCCCAACCATTTCATCAAGAGATTTGCTGCCGGTATTGCTTTCATTGCATTATTGACTCGTTATTAGTTTTGTTTTTGGTTTTTGATAATTATTTACCGTTTCTAGAACTCGATTGCCCAGAATCTGTGACTGAGGGCTGGTATGTGTTTTTATAAGAAACTTTAGACCGAAAGTATATTTACTTTACTAATTGGTTATCAGGTGTGCCATCATCGCTGATATAATCAGCAAAGACTGTGATGTTCTTGAGTTTTTAATCGCTGCGTAAGTCATTTGTTTTTGCAATAATTTAATATTAAATTGAGTGAATGTTTGCTTGTTTTTGATAGTTATAAACAATACACTCCAATACTAGCGGTAGACGAAAATCCTGAGAAAATAGAGCAATTGATTCGTGAAAATGATCCCAAAAACATAGAGTTATTGCAAAAGTATCGGCGCTTTAATTCGTTTAAGAAGCCAATCAATCAAATCAACGCTCATTCATATATGGCTATCGAAAGGGGCGAATCCATTGGCATTCTTCACGTTAACATAGAGTTCGATACAATTATTTTGAATAAATTGACTGATTATTGTACTCTCAAGTGGAACCGTTGTATTTCCACATTTTTGGCCAATTCTGTCAAATATGCGTTCAATAATCAACTGAAGCCTAGTCTTCAAGACTATATTCGATGGGAATTAAGACATTCATCTCATATGATAGCTTTGGATGTTTTCCGCAATAATGTCAAACGTTTACTCCTTGAGCCCCCACTCAGAGGCGAATATGTGATTGGAGTGGACCCCGGATTTGACTCCGGCTTTAAAGTAGCTCTCGGTTTGTATTTTCAATTAAACGACAATATTTGGTGATTAACTCTGGTATTGCTGGTGTGGTGTAGTGTCCCCGTGGGGCGTTCCCCTGTTCTGTCGAGTGTTCAAACTGGATAACAAACATCACTGTCAGACCACTGCCGCACAACTTAAAGATCTGATGCTCTCAAACGGTTGTTCAGTAATAGCTTTAGGCAACGGAACCGGATGTCGAAGATTCGAGAATTTTTTGCTCAACTATAAGAAATCGGGTTACTTTAATCCAATTGATGTCAAGTATAAGATCATCAACGAGTCTGGAGTCAGCTATTACTCAGTGACCAATGAAGCCAAAGCATCGTTACCTCATTTTCACGAGCAGATGATTGGCGCCATTTCTATCGCCCGAAGACTTATTGATCCTTTGAGTGAATTAGTAAAAGTAGACCCAAAGCGTCTTCAGGTCGGGATGTATATGGTATGACACTAACACTACCGTACATTCAATCATGTGTTCTAATACTGTATAACAATCTTATCTACAAAAACAGAAAGATATCGATCAAAACGATGTGAAGAGAGCTTTCCATGAGGTGGCCGTCGAATGTGTCAGCTTTTGTGGTGTTGATGTGAATGTGGCTTCTGTCGAGTTATTGAGGTTTGCGTTTATGGTAACCATTTATAATGAGAGTGTAAGTTGTGTTCATTGACAGCAAAGTGGCGGCTCTGGAGCCCGCAATCGCCCGATTGATCCATGAAAAGAGAGAACGCGACGGACTCTTCAACAGTAGGTCTCAACTGAAAAACATTGATGGCATCGGTTGGAAGCAATTTGAGCAATGTGCTGGATTCATTAAAGTGATCACTTCCACCAGACGATCACTTCTCGATGTCTATAAACAGGGGTTCGTTTCATTGAGGGTTGAGTTTGCATTCAATTTATTAATTGTATTGCAATTTATAGCAAAGAGTGTGACGACAAAGCGAGCAAAAGAATGGCCACTTCTACCGATGATTACGACCCGTTGGACTCGACTATTATACACCCGGAGTCGTACAGTAGTGCCAACGTTTACATTGAATTGATTGGCGCCACGAAGGATGAGATCGGAAAACAGTCCATTCGCGACCAAATCAAGAAGTGCTACAATCTATACAGTCTGCCAGAGATCGCAGAGCTATGTAATACCGTTCCCACGAATATGCGGCTCATCATCGAAGGCCTGTCCAATAGTATTGACTTTGATTACCGAACAAATTTCGCACAAATCTATTTCCCGGAGATCCAGAAGTTCAAAGACTTGAGGGAAGGCATGCAACTCAAGGGTCGAGTGGTGAACGTCACACCAATGGGAGCGTTCATTGACTGCGGAATCGTCGGCGGAATCAATGCATATCTGAACGCAAAGGAATGCCAAAGACATGCCATTGCCGTCAATGATAACGTTTTGGTCAAAATTGTCTCCATTGAGAAACTTTTGCAACGTTTCAAAGTCACTGTCGTTAACGTCAGCAAATGTAATATGAAATACATTTAAATCTTAAATTACAGAATATTTTTGCTATATATCCGATGATTTTATTGTTATATTATATCCAAATTATTTTGCATGTACGGCATATCAAATGTTCAATATATTGTTTTCATTAATAAAATATTAATTATACTGTATATCAAAATATTTTATTAAAATATTTATATAATTGTAATACTGTTATCAATACATGTATTTCGTTCAATAAAATTAATTGATATTTTTCTCTAATATTAATTAATATTAATTCCGTGATTCTACAATATATTATTTACAAATTATTATTAAAGTTACGACATTAGTGAAAAATTATTGCCTTAAATAGTTGGCGTATTATCAGTATAAATCACTAATAAAAATAAATCTAAATATTAATTTATACGGTACAGTAGTACTGTACCAGTGCATAGTCTGGCAATAGTCTATTAAGATAATAAAATTATGTAAATATCTAAATCAAAACCTCAATTTGTACCAAAAATTCATCAAATATAATCATAATCTCATTAATTTAATTGATTTTAATTATAATTCATTAACAAATGTAAATAAAGTCAACATAACTCTAATTAGAAATCTGTGTAATTAAGGGGTAATTCACATAAATTATCAAATGTTCAATATATTGTTTTCATTAATAAAATATTAATTATACTGTATATCAAAATATTTTATTAAAATATTTATATAATTGTAATACTGTTATCAATACATGTATTTCGTTCAATAAAATTGATTGATATTTTTCTGTTATATTACCGCAATGTCTTTTATATTAATTAATATTAATTCCGTGATTCTACAATATATTATTTACAAATGATTATTAAAGTTACGACATTAGTGAAAAATTATTGCCTTAAATAGTTGGCGTATTATCAGTATAAATCACAAATAAAAATAAATCTAAATATTAATTTATACGGTACAGTAGTACTGTACCAGTGCATAGGCAATAGTCTATTAAGATAATAAAATTATGTAAATATCTAAATCAAAACCTCAATTTGTACCAAGAATTCATCAAATATAATCATAATCTCATTAATTTAATTGATTTTAATTATAATTCATTAACAAATGTAAATAAAGTCAACATAACTCTAATTAGAAATCTGTGTAATTAAGGGGTAATTCACATAAA